CAAAAGTGGAAGTTAGAATTCGAATTCCAAGTTCCATGGAAAATTTCGTGCAATCAAACGGGGCCTTAGAATTAATTTTCAAAAAAGTTGCAATAACCAATTCACCCTCTCTTGTTTAGCTAGTCTTGGGCTTTCAGCCCCAACAATCAGGCGTGTGTCATCGGCAATGGCGCGTGGCAACTCTGCGTAGAGTCTTGCCAGTGTGTGAGAACGTGTACAACATTTTTAGGCGACGACATTTTCAAGCAATTTGTTCCTAACATTATTTCTGACATTTTGGTGTTGTTAGTTTTTTGTTTCAGATTGTACAGTGGGATCTGAACAGAGTTGTTCTTCATACGTTTGGGGTTCGATCATGGTTGTTTGGTAATGGAGACTTAATCAAGTATAGTGTGGTGATCCTAAAGTGATAAATTCGCGTCTCTTATAATTTACGAACTCATATTGGTCAGCTTTAGTATATTGACTTATTCCAATTTAAATTTCAGCATTAGCACATTATCGTGCTGGGTGGTCTTGAACCTTTTCAACCCCAAAAACGAGCCCAAGAGGTGAAGTTTTTCCTTACACTTATAAATTGACCACCAGCCCTCTCCACAAACGATGTGGGATAATCTCAACAATCCTCTCTCACACATCGGGTCTTGCGGAAGACCAAACCCGTTTTTCCCTCACACAACCCGCATCTCTAGTAACTATTGGGCCTGAGATTTGTTGATAACCTAGACTCTGATATTAGTGTTGGGCGGTATTGGGCCTTCTTAACCACAAAAGTTAGCTCAAGAGGTGAGGCTTTTTCTTACACTTATAAACTGATCTCCAGTCACTTCCACAATCGATGTGGGACCATCTCAACAAAGATAATATCGGACAATCTCAACAATCCTCCCTCACACATCGGGCCTTGCGGAAGACCAAACCCGTTTTTCCCTCACACAACCCGCATCTCTAGTAACTATTGGGCCTGAGATTTGTTGATAACCTAGACTCTGATATCAGCGTTGGGTGGTATTAGACATTCTTAACCCCAAAAGTTAGCTCAAGAGATGAGGTTTTTTCTTACACTTATAAACTGATCTCCAGTCACTTCCACAATCAATGTGGGACCATCTCAACAAAGATAATATCGATATGTCCTTTCCAAACCACTTTAGAGCAACTTTCAATTTCCATTTGTATCTCTTGTTCTCCATTTCACTTGCAATAAATTTTGAAGGTGACTATATGATACATGAATAGTTGCACATGTATCATACCATCAACTAGGAACTTTACTTTGATCGTATTGATTTATTTCACATTAGTCACAAATGTTATCTTCGTCAATGGAATTTACTTTAATCTCCTTTTTATTTTGTTTTCGATGCCGACAGTATTTCTCATAATGTCTTGAGTTTTTCCACACAAAAAAAAAAAAAAAAAAAAAATCTTTCTTGGGCTTCTTCTTGGATTTTTTGTAGTCCTTGTTAGAAGATTTTGTCTTGTTTGATTTGTTGGACGACCCAATCATTTTCACGACATTAACTTTTGAAGTGCATTTATAAGAGTTTTCACTCTTGTCTCATGCCCTCGATTCTTCCTTAATCTGAAGATGTTTATGAATTTGTACCAAAAAATAATTTTCAAAACTATGAAGAATCATTTTTCAATATTCTTTCCAAGTCCCTGAGAGTTTTACAACGATTGCTCCCACTAAAAATGATTTCGAAATTTCTATTTTGATTGTTTTCAATTTGTTGGCAAGCACTTGCAATTTTTGTGCTTGAGGAGTTAAGGGAATGTTATCAAAAAGTTTAAAATCGAAATACTTTGATATTAGAAATTTCTTTATAGCTTCTTCCTTAACTTTTTATTTATTTTTTAGGGCACCTCGAATATCTGTCGTCGAAGTGGTATTGAAGTAGAGAACGTATAATCTATCTGAAAGTGCATTGAGAATGTGACCCTTACAAATTAATTCATCATCTTGGCATTTTCGTCTTTCAAACCTACAACATCTGAATCTCCATTATTGGTTTTAGCAGTGGTTTCAAATCCAGATAAAGAATGTAGAAAATTTTCAATGCTATTCGAAGGAACTTTAATTTGTCTTGTCAATGAGTGAAGTTTGTCCATCAAATTGATCTATCCTTACAAGGTCTTGATTTAAAAGTTTGATGGTAGTCACGGTTGTCTTGTTCTCCATGGATATTGTTTGCAATTGTAAGAACAAAATTTGGAAGAATGTGAAAAGAGAACAAATGTAGTAGCAATAACACCGAAAAAATTGAAAATGAGACTTGTATACATAATCACTATCCTCAAACGATATTTGTCCCTTCTAAGATTATTTTAATGATTAAAAAGACTCATGACAAATGATTTGTAGAATTGAACAAGCTTTGGAGATGAAAAAACACTTGAGCACTTTTTTTCCCAAGAATTTGAAGCTCACAAAAAACGTTTGAATATGAAAAGAACTGAATTAAAGGCACAATGAAATGTCCGATTTTTCATGAAAAGTCATCAGAAATAAAACTAGAAACCAGCCTTAACTGCTTGTTTCCAAACCCATGGGCGCGCATGGGTACATGGTTCATGAGTTTCTGCCTCGGCTTTTGCTGAGGTGAGCCATGCGCATGCATATCTTTGAACCATACCGGTATGTGGTCAAATAGCCCGGTCCCCATTTTTTCTTATTTTTTATTTTTCATTGATTTTACCTTTTTTTTATATCCAATTCTCTCATCCATATAGTTCTTGAGGAGATAATATATGACTTTGTAATGCCAACTGAATCAAAGAATGTTTTACTGGCACAGAATCTGTGGTTTAAAATGTTGAAACTTCATATTATAATCCATTCAATGAACTATTACCAATTCACCAGTACAAGATTCAAGGGATTTTCTTCAATTATGAAGATGTTTTATTTATCTTTTCATTAGTTTTTTTAATTGTCTTTTTGATAATTAGCAACGAGTTTTCATTATATAATAGAAATTAAAGGACCAAGGGCGCCACATTATATCGGTTGAGTTCAATAGCTTATGTAGACGGTCACAAAAATTGAAATTATAAAATATTGGATTTCTTTCCATTTGTCAATCCTAAATAAGTACTAATTGGAATCAATGATTTTGTGATTAACTAAAGTATTCAATTCTTTACGAAGTATCAACTAATATTTGATTTCTAAATTAAAGATTTTTTTTTTGTGATTCAACATGTTTTTAGATCGTTTTTTATATTTAATCATGTTATAGACTATATGTGTAATAGGAAACATTCTCATTGAACACAATACAATCTACAAATTTGAATAGTATGGTAATAATTATTTCACTTGCGGAGGAGCAAGTACAATTGTTCATACATTCATTAAGCTATTGTTTGGTGAGAATTAAAATCAGATCTTGATAAAAGTTGTTGAAATGTGTGGTTGAATAGTTGTGGACCCTATAAAATGTGTGCTTAAAATTAGTTGTTGACTTTGATTTATATTAAAATTTGGATTTTAATTTGTACCAAACAGGCGCTAAACAAAATTCCAAATAAAAAAACATTAAAACTAGCAAAATTTATTCCAACAAGGAGGAAATCAATTCGAAATGAAAAATCTATACTACGAACATACATATTTCTAGTAATTTTAGCTGTCTCTAGGTACTCTTCCCTTGTTTTCTACTATAAACCTGGAGTAAAGCCGAAGGGAAAAGGAAATCCAAACTGAGCAAAATTTATTCCAACAAGGTGGAAATCAATTCGAAATGAAAAATCTATACTATGAACATACATATTTCTAGTAATTTTAGCTGTCTCTAGGTACTCTTCCCTAGTTTTCTACTATAAACCTGGAGTAAATCCGAAGGGAAAAGGAAATCCAAACTGAGCAAAATTTATTCCAACAAGGTTGAAATCAATTCGAAATGAAAAATCTATACTACGAAAATACATATTTCTAGTAATTTTAGCTATCTCTAGGTTCTCTTCCCCAGTTTTCTACTATAAACCTGGAGTAAAGTCAAAGGGAAAAAGAAATCAAAACTGAAAGTACAAGAACAAGATTGGGCCCTGCAATCAAACTCTCTTCCCGACCTATTCATGAGCAATCATGCTACATGTACACTTTGTTTGACATCATTTTTGACATTATGCCATATGTTGTAACACGAGTGAACAGTTTTAAAATGAAGCATACTTTTCCGCCCATTTCAATTTGAAAATCAATGAAGTGTCAATCATAATGTAAACAAAAGAATGTACAAGTGAATTATTCCATTCACGAGAGCCATACCCTGTTTGATTCCCATTACTTGGTAATGAAAATGGGTGAAATAATATTTTCTTGAAAAATGAGTGGTTGAAAAAGAGGAATTTTTTTTTTGATTTACGTGTAATATTATTTAATGGAAGATTGTATGATTGAAAATAGAAGAGAAAAAAATAGAATGTAATGTAATGTAATTTAATAGGGGCAAACGGGGGCTAAATAAACTAGAGGCATAAAGGTGTGTCACATTTATTATTCTCCTCCAATATATTAGAGGTGTAAAGATGTATCAAAATGTGGTACTAAACTTTTATTTTTATTTTTATTATTTATTTTTTATAGCCCATTGGGAGGGGAGACACACCCTTTTGTAAACCTTTTTCTTATGTTATTATTATTTATTTTTTTGGAAAATTATATACAAAACCGAAATAAAAAGTAAAAAACTGGCCTATCTTTGACATAACATAAACGAAACACCAAACAAAAACCTCATTATTTTGGAGAGGCAAAGCAATTTTTTTCTTGTACCAAAAAAACATTAGTCGTATGGATTTTGCTCAAAAAAATATTGTTGCAACATGACCATCCATTTTATTGTAAAGTTATTTTTCTTTCTAATTAAAGAGAATAAAATCCTTTAGAAGATAAACCTTTGTAACTTCCTCAAAAACGGTTCCTACTTGCTTGGTTCCATATCTCACCGAAATATTGCATCACCTAACTTCTCTTTCTATATAAACCCACAAACCCCCAATGATATTTACAAGAAGAATTCAAAAGTTCTCAAAATCATACCAGCAAAAAACACTCCTTCGCATCAAAAAATGGCTTCAAAGTCTTTTTGCTTCTTCTTTTTAGTGTTGTATTCATGGGTTTTTGTGGGGTTTTCGCAGGGCGGCGGCAGTAATTTGCCATGCATGCAAAAGCTACTTCCATGCCAACCCTATTTGAAGTCATCTTCTACACCACCACCAGCTTGTTGTGTCCCACTGAAGCAGATCATAGCCGACGATAGTAAGTGTCTTTGTGCTGTATTTAACAATCCCGGAATCATGAAAGGCCTCAATGCAACACAAGAGGATGCTCTCAATATGGCAAAACATTGTGGTTCTAATGCTGATGCATCCGGTTGCAAAACAGGTGATTTATATATCTCATTTTTCCTTCAAGCTTTAGAATTGATTTGAAATTATAAATCTTAGATTTATGGTGAGACTTTTTTGAAACTGTAGAAATTTTTGATATTCGATAAATTTGTTTTCATCCAGATTACTTTCCAATATATAAATTAATTTGTTACATAGATCCAGAATCCTTTAATTTGATGAATCATAATATTCCAAAGTATATAGTTGCATTGGATCCCTGACTAGATGTAGTGATAAATCAAAGTGACAACAAGAACAGGCATGTTATCTTAAATCTATTAGGAATGAAACTTAGTTTAATATATTCTGATGCACATTTTTCAGGACAGTAATAGACCTTTTGGTACATTTTGCATTTTGGTGAATTAATTGAGATTTTGGATAAAATTATTAGTAACATTTAATAGAAATTGTATTGGGTCCCACTAAATATGTTATTAATAAATGGGTAGTATTTGTGAATGTGTGGATGAATCAATTTAACTTATATTAAATATAACTTTTTAGTAACTTTTAATTGTTTTAGATTTATAATCTTTTAATATGATAAATGTCTTCTTTAGTAGTATATATTAGAGTTGCATCCTTTAGTACATATATAATATAGTGATGAACCCATGGCATGACAAAAATAAAAAATAAAAAGTAAAAAGTTCCATGTAATCTACCTCAAAACTTATTTGTATCATATGTTTGTGTGACTTCCACGAAAGATATACATGGCGGGCACTTTCATATATGATCTATTATACTCCAATTTAATTTATGGAACAAAAAAAAAAAAAGGTTTACTGATTTCATTCTATGTTTTAGTTTATTTTAATGTAATTGCTCAGTGACTCAATACTGCTAAATGTCGATATATGTGTATGATGTAAGATTGCTTTGGTATATTGACTCTAATTTTGTTTATTTTTTATTTCAACTGTAACGAGTCAGATTAAAAAAGAAGAAATATATAATCATGCTAACCCGTAATTGATTTTTCTTGGTTATTTGTTTCTAACATGATGTTGTTCTCTTCTGTCACAGCCTCTACGCCAACTGTTTCACCATCTCCACCTTCTTCTAATAGTAGTAAGTTCGTTACTGCTAATTTTGAATGTTTTTCCAAAATTCATTAATTGAATTATGAGAGATTGGCTTATTTTACATCTACCTAATCCATCTATAGGCCCCCCTGCGAAAAGTTCAGCTTCTGTGCTCTCTTATTTTGGAGGATCCGATTCCCTTCCACTCGCAGCGGCGGCCATTCTGAGTTTGATTGCATCCATAATATTCTAGAGAATTTTCCATTTCAATCAAATTTAACTTTGCCAAACATCTGGATTTGTTTTTAGAGTTATTTGTTCAAGACTATGTATGATGTTTTCCCATAAAAGCACAATGGATCCTTCTACCTAGTTACCTTATTTATTACTTTCATCTAAAGATTGAATCAATCGGCTCTTGCTACGTCAAAACAGTCACAAAGCGACGGTCAAAAAATGTTGCCAAGGCCTGGGCCAAAAAAAAAAGAAAGAAAAAAAGTAATAGTTTTAAATCTCAAACCGTTGGTTAATCTAACCAACCCAACCCGCTTACATGTCTACCTTTTTTTAATTTAAGAAAAATAAAAGTCAAAAGAAAAGCCCTAATCTCATAACTGTATTCCAATTCCTTCTAATCTATAATGCTGTCTGTAAGTAATAGCATTGGGAATTCCAATTCATAAGCTCATTATATAATTATATTTAACATTTTTTCCCTACTCAGGTAGTCAGACTACATAATACAAAATAAATCAGCAAAATTTTTATGTTTTCCACTAACTGGTCTCTATTAACCGGATTTTATTTATTAATTAATAGTTTTTGTAATATAAAATTATTTGGTTATTTTAATTCTTGTAATCTAAGTGGGCATAAAACTCAGACAATTACTTTTTAAAAAAATCAATTTAAAAAAAATCAAATCGACTAACCGAATTGAATCAAACCGAACCGAACCAAACCAAACCTAACCTAATCGATTTGATTTGATTTGGTTCGATTTAAAAGCTAGACTGGATTGGTTTGTGTAATGCCCCGACCCGCATGTTCCGAGATGTCACTAGTTTAATTGTACTTTAGCCATAAACTTATTAATTAATTGTACTTTTAACGAAAAGCATAAGAATTTGTTTAAGTATTATATATTTATATTTATCTTTTTTTACGACACAATTTAATTTTTAAAGGAAACAAATTCAAAAAGGTCTTTGGAGTGATTTCCATGCATATTGTTGACATGAACATTAAAGGCAGGAAATAAAAACAAATATTACTGTCTTACATTATATTTCAAGCGGCAATTGTCAAAATAAATTCGTTTACATAGCTATCGACTCCGAAACTTCATAAAATTTTAATGTAAGATATAAAACTCCTTATACTACGATATATCCAAAATTTGACTTTCGTCGGCAACATATGAGTTATTAAAATAATTTTTTTTCAAAACCTCACAGCAACTCGATTGGAAGGTAAACCAGCGTAGTTAACTTAAAATGACATATAAAATTTCACAAATATTGGAATAATATGATTTTAACTTTATTCAGTAGCTAATTCATGATACTATCAAACCTCATTGGTTTCATCCAAAAATTTCAAGTAACAATTGAGTTATGAATTTTTGAAACTAAGGGTAGAAGCTGAAAACGACAACACTTTCCAGTGCAATTTACTTTTAAGTGACATAAAATTCTTTAGACATTGAATTGACATGATTCCAAGTTTATTCAGTAGCTAACTTATGATAACCCCAATGTTATTGTCTAAAAATTCCAAGTAATGATTGAGTTGTGAATTTTTAAAGTAAATGCAGAAGCTGAAATTTTAAAAACAATATTAAATCGCTAACACTTTTTTCTCGTAAACGGTGTTTCATAAGTTAATTTATAGAACATATATTTACTTTTAAACATAACTTATTCAGAATGAATTGTTCGTAGAATAATTCCATATACGATTTCATAGAAATCTATTTAAAATAAAACGTAAACATTTCATTATTGAATTAAAGACATTAAATCACCGGCTTCTCCATGGCATGTTACATTTCCATCTACCATCGTCCACGCGCCCAAGCAAATCAAATCAACTTGTAGGAAAGAAATTAATCCATGAGTTTGAAACTCAATAGATGTCATCGATGCATTTCGTTATCAAATTAGATAATTCGATCTGTAAATTCATACCGCATCACGTAGATGGATTTTTAGCAAAATTAATTTCTATAGCATTATCATAATACGTAATGTCAGAGAATGATCATTCAAACTATTGTAATGCCAAAGCACTGTACCCGAAGGTACCATTTCATTCAAGCTTTTACGAAAAATCATAATTTGAAAACGAAATAATACTTGCACTCTACCTACCTTGAATTTTCTTGGATATCAAGGAACAAAATGTGTAAAAAAAAACCTTTCTTCTTCACCACTTTGCTATTTTCTTAAACTTAACTTGATATAAAATATATTTTTGAGAGAAAAAAGAGTAAATTCGAATTTGAACAAAGATGTATTATCATTATATTTGTTAAATTGGGCATTTAACTAAGAATTTTAAGAGTTTTTAAGACATAAAAAAATAATTCATATAAAAAGTTTTATCAAAACATTTACATAATGAAAATAAAGAAAAATGAACCATTCATATGTTTTGTAACCTATCGTTATCAATGTCCAATAATAAAATAATTATTTCATCCAATTAACTTGATATGAAATATATTTTTGAGAAAAAAATAAGAGTAAATTCAAATTTAAGGAGAGGTGCAGTGAAAAAGTGACATTTTTGTTCTTGTAACCTTCATTTTTAATGAAAAACTAAATGGGGAAGTTGTATTATCATTAAATTTGTTAAAATGTGCCTTTAATTAAGAATTTAAAAAGTTTTTAAGACATAAAAAAATAATTCATATAAAAAGTTTTATCAAAACATTTACGTAATGAAAATAAAGGAAAATGAACCATTCATATGTTTTGTAACCTATCGTTATCAATATCCAATAATAAAATAATTATTTATTCTAATTAACTTGATATAATTATTCTTAATGTACAAAATGAGGAGTTTTAAACTAAAAAATAATTTTGTAAAAATATTTTATAAAAGCAAATACATGTTGATTTGAACCTAGGTTGTCTATATAAAATACCATGTAGATGGTCATTGTAGTAACACAGTTATTCATTAAATCTTTGTAATCAAATTTATTTACACTTAATCTCTTAAATTATTGAGCTTTTAATTAATTTATGGTGTGGACTTTCATAATCTTAAATGTGTTGAGTTTCCATAACTTGTTTCTTAAATGGGCTAGACTCGTGGTGCTAGATCATTACAAAATAATAGCCTAATTTCATTTTATTTCTCGCGGTTCTATATCCTTTACACCTTAAACAAAATTTTGTCCTCGAAATTTATCTTATGGATTGGCAAAGAGTACCAGATATTTGTCTTTGACTTCTTCTCTTTCCCAAGTAGATTTTTCTACTCCATGATTTCCATTGCATTTTGACCAATTGAATCTCCTTGTTCCGTAATTTATTTATCTTTTAATCCATTATTTTAATCGATAATTCCTCATAAGATAAATCTTTCTGTACTTCGAAGGATTGATAATTGACTACGTGATTAGGATCATGCATATACTTTCTGATCATCGATATATGAAACACCTTTGTGATCTACTGATAGTTTAGGCGGTAAAGCCAATCGATAAGCCACATTTCCGACCATGCCAAGTATTTCAAAAAGGTCTAATATAACGAGATCGTAGTTTGCTTTTCTTGCCAAATCTAAATATACCCTTTATTGGTGCCACTTTTAAAAAGGCTTTATTTCTGACTAGAAACTCCAAGTCCTTTCTTCTGGTATCTGTATAACTCTTTTGTCTATCATGTGTTGCCTTTATCTTAGTACGTATCTTATCAATGGCTTCGACTGTCTTTTCAATGATCTCCGGTCCCAAAAGTCTATTTTCTCCTACTTCATCCCAATGAACAAGGGATCTACATCTTCTACCATATAGAGCTTCATATGGTCTCATTCCAATAGTTGTATGGAAATTGTTATTAATGCAAATTCCATCAGAGGTAGATACGATTCCCAACTGCCTCCTAGATCTAGAACACAGGTTCTTAGCATATCTTCTAAAGTTTGAATGGTCCTTTCAGACTGACCATCAAATTTAGGGTGATACATTGTATTGAAATACAATTTTGTTTCCATATCTCCTTGTAAGCTGTTTCAAAACTTTGATGTAAATTTCGGATCTCTATAAAAAACAATAGATATGGGGACACCATGTAATCTTAAAATCACTCTAATGTATAATTGCGCCAGTTGATCTAGACTGAATGTCACTTTTATAGAAAGAAAATGAGCAGATTTTGTTTGACGATCCACTATTGCCCATATAGCATTGTTTTCTCTCTTGCTGACTTTGGAAATCCGACAACAAAGTCCATTGCAATATTCTCCCATTTCCATTTAGGTATGTCCAATGGATTTAACAATCCTATCGGTCTCTGATGTTCTACTTTAACTTGTTGACAAACTATGCACTTTGTCACAAATAAGCCTATACTTCTTTTCATATTCCTCCATCAAAATGTATCTCGAAGGTCTCGATACATTTTTGTACCACCAAGATGTGCTGTGTATGGGGTGAAATGAGCCTCTTCCAATATCTCATTCGTTAAAACTTCATTCTAAGGTACACAAATTATTCCTTTAAACATTAGTGCTTGATCTGAAGCTATTCTAAAATCTTTTCTCTTATTAATACTAATCTTATTCTTGATCTTCTGCAAAAATGGTCTTTACTCTGTGGTTTTGTAATTTGATTTGTAAGAGTAGGTCGAATTACCAAAGTTGCTAAACGAGCGGTGACTTATTCTGGTGTGGTAATCACTTCGATTCGCAAATTCTCCAAGTCTTTGATTAACTCCATCTGAGTAGTAGTTAATGATGCCAATTGTCTTATCAACTTCCTACTTAGAGCATTGGTGACAACATTAGACTTACCAGGATGATAATGAATGGTACAATTATAATCATTTACTAACCAAACCATTGTCTCTGTCTTATATTCAATTCATTATGTGTGAAAAATATTTGAGACTCCTACGATCCATGTAAATATCGTATTTTCCTCCATATAAGTAATGGCGCGAATATCTTTAGTGCATGTACTATCGTCGCAAGTTCTAGATCATGCGTCGGGTAGTTCTACTCATATTGCTTCAATTGCTTTGACGCATAGGCAATCACTTTTCCATGTTACATCAGTACACATCTCAAACTTTGTTTTGATGCATCACTATATATAACGAACCCTCCAAACTTTCAGGTATGGTTAACACAAATGTT